AAAGGGGTAAATGAGCATGCTGACTATAAATATTAGGTTGTCCCATAAATATTTACCGTTTTTAATTCGACGGTCGTTTTTTTTGTATCTATCCTCTAATTGATGCGGCTGAGTAACCTTTCGATACGGCAAAGCAAGCCCTACAAGAAGGCTATCAAGAGTCTGCACAAATTGTAATCCACGTAAAGTGTTGAGCTGAAATACGATAGCAGTCAAAAACGGATTTTACTGTCAAAAATCGTATCTCCGCCCCAGAATATCTAACTAAAATTTTATATAACTTAGCATGTGCTTGACACATCGAACACTCAATTATACAATTTTCGTATTTTTTCCATGGCCAGAAATAAAGAAAAAATTGAATGAAGTAAAATGGCAAACTCCGCCCCTAGAAGTTCTGAACTCCTCACACACACGTGATCATATAGCTCATACATAGAGAAGTACGATCATGAGTTTGAAAATTTTGAAGGTGCCCCAGTCTTCGAGAAATGCTGATGTTTGAGGTAAAAACGGTGAATAATTATGGGACACCCTAATATAATGACGGTCTTGTAAAAGCCCATTAACTTTACTGATTTTATGTGTTTTCGCAAACTCTGAGCTACATACAGTTGAAGTTGACACAGGGGGTGAGTGAGCATGCTGAGGTACTTCATTCGTCTTCCTCTGGGAAAGTCTAGAAAACTCGGCAATATCTCGTATTTGCCATATATGGGGAGGAGATAAAGGGCTATTCTCTGGCACCATTCATGCCCTCACCACACTTACAGTAAATGTAAAGCTCTATAAGGGCACTCCAACCTCCATTTTCTTCTTCATTTTCTGAAAATCTCTTAATCTTCTTTTTCACCTTTTCAGTTTTTTTTGTGGACTTCTGCGAGCATTGATATTAATATCAAGGCAGTTTGGAAGTCTAAGCCTTTTAATGAACAAAATTGGAAATTTGCCAAAAATAGTTCGAAAAATTTTCAAAATTCGAAAATTCGAATTTATGTGTGACATGTATGTATCAAAAATCTGCAACATTACACATAGTTTGTACACAAGCAAAAATCATTTATCAAAGTTATGAGGATTTTTTAGTCTAACAAAACTTATGTAACAGCCTAATACAGTGCGATTCATAATTATACGAACACCCAAATTTTAGAAGTTTTTGGACTTTTGAAAGAAACTCAAAAAGCCGTTGGTACCATGCGAAAGAGAATAGCCGAAAACGGTATACGATCCACAAAAATGAAAATCGATGTCAATCCTAGGAGTATTTCTGCGCCTGATGCGAGTTTTTAGCCGTTCACAATTATACGAACACCTCAAACGAAGGACTATTTTTCATTCAAAACTGCAATCTTTCGGGTCCAAATTTTTTGTGGAGTTACAGTAACAAAGTGTGGAATATTTGCTACACATTGAACCCAGTGCAGCTCAAGAGAAGAGCGTTATTCCTTTTCAGATAACTCTGAATGCTTTTGGAGACAGTGCGCTCCAAAAACGTCTGTTTTTCTGTGGTTTACGCACTCTAATCAGCTTCTACCAAGGCTATGAGATAAAACAAACTTTTTCGATAGATATTTTGTTCGACGCTTGGAGAATCTTTGCGTTTTCGTGCCGTTCTTCAACCAAGTCCCAACCTTACCGTTAGCACGATTTCACGCCTCAAAATTTCAGCTTCTAAATCCCTAGAATGAAGTAAGCACATGATATGTAGAAGCTCACAACACTGGTAGTTGGCCAGAAGAAAATCAGCAACGTTGAGCATCTGTCTTGGCCACGCAGGCGTCATTTCACCAAAACCACTGCTTTTACTAAAGTGCGGTTCATAATTATACGAACACCCAAAATTTTGTAAGTTTTCGGACTTTTTAGGAGAAACTCAAAAGCCATTGGTACCACGCGATAGCACACAGCCGAAAACGGTATCTGATTTATAAAAATGGAAATCGATGTCGATTGTAGGAATGTTTTTGCGCCTAATGCAAATTTTTAGCGGTTCATAATTATACGAACACCTCAAACAAGGTCCATTTTTCATTCAAGATTGCAATCGTTTAAGTCCAAATTTTTTGAAAAATTACAGTAACAAAGTCTGACATATCTGCTACACACTGAACCCAGTGCAGTTCGAAACGAGGACTGTTACTTTTTTCAGAAGGCTCTAAATGCTTTTGGAGTGATTGCGCTCCAAAAACATCCATTTTTCTATGGTTTACGCGCTCTGATTAGCTTCTAACAATGCTATGAGATAAAATAAGCTCTTTCGATAGGTATTTTGTTTGACGCTTGGAAAATCTTTGCGTTTTCGTGCCGTTTTTCAACCAAGTTCCAACCTTACCCTAGAGTTAGCACGATTTCGAGCCTCAAAACTCAGCTTCTGAAGCCGTACAATGAAGTAAGCATATGGTATGCAGAAGTTTACAAGACTTTATGGTTGGCTAGAAAAAAATCAGCAGCGTTGAGCGTTTGTTTTGGTCACGCAGACGTTATTTCACTAGAAATACTCTTTTTACTATTGCAAACATATTTATTTGGTTGGTACCTCCACAGCCGCAAGATCAGTTCTAGAAAAAACCCAAAAACTTTGGCACAGAAATATCATCATGCAAGCAATACAGCGGCTTCATATCAAATGTTTGCGCAAGAGAGAAGCTGAGTTTTGAGGCTCGAAATCGTGCTAACTCTAGAATAAGGTTGGAACTTGGTTGAAAAACAGCACGAAAACGCAAAGATTTTCCAAGCGTCAAACAAAATACCTATCGAAAGAGCTTATTTTATCTCATAGTTTTGTTAGAAGCTAATCAGAGCGCGTAAACCACAGAAAAATGGATGTTTTTGGAGCGCAATCACTCCAAAAGCATTTAGAGCCTTCTGAAAAAAGTAACGGTCCTCGTTTCGAACTGCACTGGGTTCAGTGTGTAGCAGATATGTCAGACTTTGTTACTGTAATTTTTCAAAAAATTTGGACTCAAACGATTGCAATCTTGAGTGAAAAATGGACCTTTGTTTGAGGTGTTCGTATAATTATGAACCGCTAAAAATTCGCATTAGGCGCAAAAACACTCCTACATTTGGCATCGATTTCCATTCTTATAAATCATATACCGTTTTGGGCTGTGTTCTATCGCGCGGTACCAATGGTTTTTTGAGTTTCTCCCAAAAAGTCCAAAAACTTACAAAATTTTGGGTGTTCGTATAATTATGAACCGCACTTTATTGCAATCACACCTTTATTTGTTTTTTAGCTCCGTAGCTCAAAACTCGTTTAGCAAAAAAAACCCAAAAACTTCGGCACGGATACATCATCATGCAAACAATGCAGCTGCTTCATATCAAATGTTTGCGCGAGACGGAAGCTGAGTTTTGAGGCTCGAAAGTGTGCTAACTCTAGAATAAGGTTGGAACTTGGTTGAAAAACGGCACGAAAACGCAAAGATTTTCCAAGCGTTAAACAAAATATCTATCGAAAAAGTTTGTTTTATCTCATAGCGTTGGTAGAAGTTTGAAAAAGTTGAAAAGCAGACGTTTTTAGAGCCCAATAACTCCAAAAGCATTCAGAGCTATCTGGAAGAAGTAACGCTCCTCTTTTTGAGCTGCACTGGGCTCAGCATGTAGCGTTTTCCAGACTTTGTTACTCTAACTAACTCCCAAAAAATTTGGACTCGAAAGATTGCAGTTTTGGATGAAAAATGGACCTTCGTTTGAGGTGTTCGTATAATTATGAACCGCTAAAAATTCGCATCGGGCGCAGAAATACTCTTAGGATTGACATCGATTTTCATTTTTGTGGATCGTATACCGTTTTCGGCTGTTCTCTTTCGCATGGTACCAACGGATTTCTGAGTTTCTTCCAAAAAGTCCAAAAACTCTCAAAATTTGGGGTGTTCGTATAATTATGAACCGCACTGTATAATAACCGTTCGATGACACCCATTACGTTTATGCATTTATCGATTCTTTGTGGACTTCGAGGTACAGGGCTGAAAGTTGCCACAGAAGGATATTCGAGTGTTATAAGGCTCGAAAAGATTATTTTTAGGGCAGAGTAAATCCTGATCTTCCTATTTCCTGCTCATTGATGAAAAGCTTAAAGAAATGCACAACCTTGAGTTTTCTTAGTAAAGTTGATTTGGAAAATGTGTTTAGTATCAGGTCATACTATTGTTTTTTTCTCAATTTTTCACTATTGTCCGTCACCAATAGTAAAAAATTGAATGTCATTTTTGTGAGTGAATAACACTGTCAAAATCACAGAGTTTTAAAAATGCGTACTGAACAGTACGCTTCTACTTCAGGGTCCAGCACGAGTCGGTTTTGAGAGTTAAAAAAAAGTCCCTCCTGACTTCCGGAAAATTTACGAAGTTGCCTTTGACTCTCGTAACAAACTATCACTTAGGAGAAGATGAAAGTAGGAGAGAGTCACTAGTCTGGAAAGGAAAATTTTGAATCTTTCATACAGAGTGTCCCAAAAAGATGCGCACAGCGTTTGATCGTTAATAACTCTCTTGTTCTCATGCTTTTTACCGAGCTTGAGGTACCATTCCGTAAAGCAGGTTCAACTTAGATATACAATATGGAGCGGATCACCAGTCGCTCCTAATTACTGTAGGATTACGGTGTAAACTTTCAGCATACAATCACTGTGGATTAGGCCTTTTCATGAAATAGTTTCAAAAAAATCTAAAAATTGTAAAGCAAGGTTTTCAGGCGTGCTTTCACTACATGACTTCACCAATTTTTGATGGCGTTTTTGCTGGCATATCCACATTTCTGACGAACATTGGAAAACAATTGTTACCATAAATCTGAAATAACTTACAAAAGAAGCATTATACTGAGGTGTAAATTTCATATTCAGAACCAGCGACTTCGATTAGCCCAATTCAAGAATTTCTGGCTTGTTTGGCTTTCTTTCTGAGGCAAAATATCGGCAAAATACCGCTTTCAATGGCTTAAAATCTTCCTCCAAGTTCCTACCATAATCTTACAGTAATAGAAAGCGCATGATTCCTCAGACAGTCGACGGCGTACCTGCGGAGGGAGGCCCTAATGCGGCAGACCTGCGGAGGACGCTCTTAACCATTAGGGGGCGGGGCAAGGGGCGGTCCACTCGTGATGACGTCACGTGGGAGCCGGATGGCACACCAGCGGAGGAGACTCCAAAATCTGTGCTCCGCAGGTGTCCCATCTCCGGGACACCCGTGGAGAGCTCTGGACGACCAGCACCCGCGGAGCGCTGGCGCGCACCCAAGCTGGCGTGCAGCCATCTGCCCAGAACCACTCACTCGCACGCTAGTTAGCAGGTCTCTTGCTGTGTTGATTGATTGATTGGTTTCGGCTGTGGTTCTCCTTTCTTCTTCAACAGCATTGCTCCTGTGCGGATGCACTCTTCGAACCTTTGACAAGTACCTCCGGACCAATTCGAGGTAAGTGCCCCTCTGACTGAAGTTTTCGATACGAAAACTTCAGTCAGAAGCACGCATTTCGGAGTCAGTATCCTGCAGTTCGATGTTCAGGCTGTTTTGATGATTCGGGGCAACACGCTGAGCTTACTAGGTTCGTGCAGCAGTTATGGTTGAAATCGATGTCAACAAAGAAAATGAGGAGGAGTCGGATTTTTGTGATCCTGAAGACTATGTTGATGATATAACTGATGAAGGTGAAAAAAAAAACAGAGCTAGGTGTTGGAAATGAATCCAATTTTTGCATTTTTATTGAAGCGCGAAGCGGAGTGAAATCGGAAAAATATGCGCTCTATGCAGTTAGCGTTTTGTACTCATATGCGTTGAAGTAAATTGTGACTAGATTCTCACTTTAGACTTATCCGGTTGGGATTTTCTTCTCTCCTCAAAGTGCACGCTTCAACGCATCTTTTCTGCTTTCCTTTCTTGCTGGCTCTGGAGATCGCCGCAGAAATAGTTTTCGTCTTGTTTCCTTTTATAAACTCTCACGAAGTCTTTTTAGACGAGGCGCGAGGCTGGCGCGGTGAGATATCTTCTAGTCGAAGTCCCATCAATTTCGACGATTTGAGTACAAACAAGGAAAAAGCTAGACATTAGGACTTATATACATCCTTTAGCTGGAGAACATCGGAGGAGGATATTTTAGATCGAAATGAACGTCTTATTCTTGGTCTCATCTGGACGATTATTCTTCGTTTCCGAACTGATACCATTGTCATTGAGGTGAGAATCTTCTCATAATTATAGCCCAGAATATTTTTTCTATTTTCTGCAACCACATGAATATGGAAGCTTTTCGCTTTTTTCTATTCATTAGAAATTAACAAATCATCTTACGTGGTTACCTTGTTGATGTAACTTAGAAAGCAGTTTGCCTTCACTCAGTTTGGCTTTTAATACTTGTTGAGAAATCTAGGCATCTAAAAATTAAACTACTTGTACTCCACCACAAATGCAAATGTTGTGATTTTGATTACCTTTTAGGTTCTTTTTTATAGCCTATTTGTTTCTTAGCGTCTTCTGACGCTGAAGATGTTGACACGGCTCGTCCAGATGAGAAATCTATCATCACCTATGTGTCCCTGTATTATCACCACTTTGCGAAACAGAAGACCGAACTCACTGGAGCTCGTCGTGTTGCTAATGTATGTAATTTCAATCTTTTCACAATCTTCCGCATGTTCGGCTTGTATATTGCTGGCAAACTGATGAATAGTGATGCCATGGAAGAAGATTACGAACACATCGCATCAGATTTACTGAAGTGGTTTCGCGAAACGATCAAAATACTCGAAAACAGGAGGTAGGTTGTTATGTCGAAAATTGGTAGATTTGCGGATTTAGGTTAGGTTTTACCCAAAACAACGGAGTTTAACTTTGCACTCTTTATATACCGTTGACTACAACTACAGAGCTGGCTGAAAATGTGCAAGTGATCTTGGAAGATATGGAACAAGGAAGGACTGCAAATGAAGTCGAGAAATCGTTGAAAAACAGCAGGCTATTGCAAACGATATTCTTGCGAGGGTAGGCGAAAGTCAATCTAAAATTTTTGAATTCGCTTGATTTCTGTCTTTTCAGGAAGAACGCTTCAAACTGCTCACATCTATGTGTGCTGATCATTGTAATGAGAAATACCATGAGAGCGACAGGATTCGAATACAGGAGAGAGATATCATAGAAAGGTTGGCTTATCTGCTTTTTCATTCTTTTTCTGGAGTTGTTGTATCTTTCACGGGAGTAGCACTCTGCTAAATAGCTGGCCGACTGCCATGTTTTTTCGACTTTTGTAAATAAAGTCGTGCATGTGTCTGTGTTGTAAGACGACGGTGAGTTCTACCTGTTGTTATCGTGTGTAAATAGATAAGATCCGCTAAGGTAAACTTGAACATGAACATACAGTGAACTTCGATTAGAATGGTAGAAAAAAAGTATACAGCATGTTCCGTTCGTGCTAGATAGGCCTAGGAAAGCAGAGGGATGCAACTCAGCATGTCTAATCTGTAACTTCTACCCTTTTATCTTTTTCTTGCGGGAAACGTATACTGTACATGCAGGTGGACTCATCTACTGAACCTGCTGGAACAACGCCGGAAAGCCCTTATGGGTCTGAATCAGAGACACTGATACTCTAGCTAGCGAACTTAAACAGTTAGAGGTAAGTGGGCTAATTTCGTGTGTCACAGGATAGCTGCTTTCAATGACTTTGTTCAGCCGGCTGTCCGCAATCGTGATGTAGGAAATCATCTACTAGGCGTAGAGGATCTGCTCGGTAAACATGAGCTGGTAGAGGCTCAGGTATGTTTACTATTGGGTACTTCGTTTGTAGGTCTGTTTTTCTTCACTTACAGGTTAATGCTCAAGGAACCTGGCTTACAAATGTATCCAACCAGGCTAACATATACATTAGGAGCAAAGGAGAGCAGTATGATGTGCTACAGAGGAAACTTGATGATGTCACGGCGCAGTATTACTCGTAAGTACCAAGACTTTCTTGGCTGCTTTTGTGACTCTTCCATTTTTCAAACGTTCCGACTATTTTAATCAGGTCTCACTTTCCTGATTCTCACTGTCTTCATTTAACTTGGTGGATTCAAGCGCACGTCAGAGACGCGCTAATCTTGAGAAAGCTCGTGCGCTTCACAAATTCGTCCAGGATAATGAAGAATAGCTGTCTTGGTTAGCTGAAAAAGAATATCTTTGCCGTCGTGTTCTAGCAGTCAGTTAGTATTATGTGTATTGTGATGGAATGTATTGTTGTTTTGTATGTTTTTCGCTTTCTGTAACGTTAGGAATAAATTTTTGATCTGATTTTCGTTATAGCGACTTAAAGGCATATTGTAACTAGCATTGTGTTCAATTGAACACAATGCTAGTTACAGTATGCCTTTGGGAGGTCTCCGGAGCACAAAACGGGAGGTCCCCGGAGCACAAAACGGGACGGCTGCGGAGAACAAATCGCAAACCCACGAAGGGGAGACCCCGCGCCCTCCCGTTTTGCCCTCCGCAGGTATCCCCTCGACTATCTGAGTCGCTCCACACTGCAAATCCAAGTTGAACCTCGCTTTAGAATATGGTAAATTAAGCTCGGCAAAAGACAGGAATGCAAGAGAGTCATTAACGATCAAACAGTGTGCACATCTTTCTGGGACACCCTGTATAAAGCTGAATGTCTTGTCTGTCGGTATGTCTGTCTGTGTGTACGTATGTCCCGAATAGAAAATTTTACTATTGAACCGATCCGGACCAAACTTTGCACACATACACATCGGGGCCGGGCGGATGTCATAAGCTACTTGTCATCGATCAACACAGATTTTTATCGATTTTTTGCAAAGTTTGGCCTTTGGGGCTGGGAGGAGTCAGCACGGGAGGGGGGGGGGTAATCGAGCATGCTGTTCACGAATACAATGCTTTTGATATTCTCCGTTACTTTTTATCGATTTCTTGCAAAGTTTGAGCTACGGGGCTGGGAGTTGGCACGGGGGAGGGGGAGGGAGGTAATCGAGCATGCTGATTACTAAAACAGTGGGAATAGTGAATTGGCATGTAGGCGTGGGCACAGGGAAAGGCTGTACTGGGATAGGGATGAAAGCTTTATCATAGTGTTTTAAAAGGGGCCGGCCAGAGCCGGGTAAGCCGGCTAGTAAGAGTAAAGGTACAAAGCAACTGAGGTTGAATAATGCAGGTACCCAAGAGTTTGGCACTGGAGCGCTATTTAACAAAGCGATTTATGAAGATATTGTGGCAAAAACAATGAAAAGGCAAAGGCACTATATGAAAATGTTTTTATGCTTAGGGATAGATTCTTGAGGGACATGCGTCAAGAAATGGAAATGAAAAATCTGAAACTTATGTGAAGTAACATAAATATACAGTCTGCCCCAATCGGGATCAGGCCGAACCGTCGGCTGAATTTCCGCGCTCGCAGCGTTAGGGGTTTGCGCTGCATACGCGCGCTGTCGCAGAGAGCGAAGAGATTGAGGAGAGAGCAGATTAGCTAGACGCAGAAGTGGCGCGAAACTCTCGCGACGCGCACTCCCGCCAAGCCAATTTTGGCCTGGTTAGGATTGGGGCAGACTGTATGTTTCATATGATCTCAGATCGTATGGTGATCATTTGGAAACGGAGTGATCCTGGAAAAATGTTACATCACATAAGTTTTCAAAACTTTCTACACAGTTCTTCCGCAAATATATTTCCATGTATACAGTCAAATTTTGATATCATACGATGGCGTCTGAGCTGTAAATTCGCGATTTGTTGAATTTAGAGTTGCTTTTAAATCGAGCGCTCTTCGCAAGACACGATGGAGCATGTTAATATTTCGATAACCTGTCCTCAAAGCTTGGGCTCGTTGAATGATTTTTTCTGGGTTCCTTCCCATGCCCCGCAAGACGGCAGCTCTTCTGCTTTTTGCCCAAAATCGAATTCCAGCCTGCTTACATACGATCGTGCAGGGCCCTGTTCTACTTCCTCATCCCAATTCCTCATCATGCTGACGCGAATACTACCAGCGAATGTATTAGATATTTGCCGGCTATCGATGTTACCACAGAGCAGCACCAATTTGCCAAAGATCCAAAAAAACCAACTTGGTGCGTATTTTCGGTCCTCTTTGCAATCGGTTGCGGCACTTTGAAACCGATGATGCAAAAAGACCCGGATATACAAGGTCACCTACCGAGGATATTGAAAAGAAGAGATAAGGAGCCCAAAACAACGGAGTTACATTGGACTTAAAAAACGCAACATTTGATTCCTAATCATTTTCAATTGTCAGTAACTGCCTCATGCACTGATTTTAACAACGCAGTAATTCCTGTATTTGTGAATATATCTGTTCGGCACAAAAATACCGTCACACCATTCGAACCGATAGCTCTTCAACATCTCAAGTGATTGGCAACCGTGGTTTTGTTCTAAAGACGAATTCGAGCCTCGGTACATTTCATAAACATCAAATTAGAAGATATTGAAGATCGCAGTTATGAACGTAATCAGTGCCAACCTAAAAATACTATGGGACATATAAGCATTGCTAGTACCCACAGATAGTGCTTTAGAAAAAGCCTAGTGATTGAAAAATTGAATTAAGATTCTCCAGAACGAGTTGCGTGAATTACTCTCGTGAACATTCGTACCTCTAACCTACAGAACTTTTCCAAAAAGCTCCTAATATCAAAACAATTCTTGCATTCAACAAGAGTGACTAAGGCTGCGTTCAGACTGATTTCGAAATCCGGGAACAGTTCCAGCACAGCGCTTGAAATGAGCGCTGTGCTGAAACTGTTTCCGGATTTCGAAATCAGTCTGAACGCAGCCTAAGAAACAGCTAAAAATTTGAGCTTTGTGAAGGACCTCTCAATTACAATTTCGAGATGTGCAGCATTATATGAGCACGTGGTCACATGTATCCATGTGCACGCTATTCGATGAAACAGTGCAGACTTTTATTTTACTTTTAAATCATCCAAAAGAGAAGCAGTTATGAAAAATATCAGCTTTGCTTGTTGCTGCTGGAACAATTTCCAGGTCGGAACAGAGCTGGCAAAGTGGTCCATCACACATAAATTGTGGTGCAACGCAGTTGATGTCCAACTCGCTTGTTGACTGCAGTTTATGAAGATATTTTATTTGAATGTAATCAGAGAAATTTATAAACTTACACGTGCTTGTTCCTTCGCCGTGAGTTTCTTCTGTGGATATAAAATAGCTGCCAAAAATTCGCGCAAATTAGCGTCAATACAAAATGTGTTGTTGAATGGCTGTACCCGTGAGACGAGTTGTTCCTTACTAAACGTAATCAAATGACATTTTTCCTGCGTAGACCAATACTTATAGTGGCGTACCAAGGGGGGGGGACCCTTTTTCTGAATTTTCGGGGTCAGGGGGCTGAAAAATTTTTCGAAAGCATCTCAAAAATTTTTCGGAGTGCGTGGCTAACGCCACGCACCTTCATCCGAAAAGAATTTTTGTCGCCCTCCCCCGAACGGAACTGGGTACGCCATTGACTTATCAACCTTTATACTTGAACGTCTGTTTGTATATCTCTGCTCTGATGATGTAGCTTATGCTATATTTGCTATTCGCTTTATGGCACTAATTTCTTACGAAACAATAGAAACTCCTAAAGCACGCATTTCAATCAACTACTAGTTACTAATCACTTTCCATGCAAAAATCTTTATAGCGTCCTTTGCTTCGCTGATCTTTTTCAGGGTGGAAGACCACATGTCCTGTAAGTCCTCTTATCTTTGAACCTGGGCATGGTTTCTCTTGGTATGAACAATTCCAATTACTTTGCTGTGCCGTACACAGGTTGTTGATGGTGATACAACTTTATTGCCTGACGTTTCGGCAGGACGCCGTCTTCAGAGGCTGAAAAGGTGTCAGTTATAGTGATACACGTTCTGAGCCGCCAAACACCTCATCCTAGCTGCCATTCGATTCGTCTCAAGTGAAAATAGAGAGTTCAGGAGGAGCTGTGCACCCACCAAATGTATCAGCGTGTTGCAGCGGATAGCCACTCGATGTGTCAGCTGTTGTGACCGAATGCGACAAATGAGCTGACCAAGATGACACAATGTTGCTTATATATGGGCAAACATTCTTATAGTTCACAGAACGACAGATACGGCAGTAGATCACTCGTCAAAGATAATTTCTCATTCTTGCTGTTTAGTTTCGGGTCTCGGACAAGAATGTAGGATGCTTCTAATTGTAAGGCTTTTCGTGCAGAAATTTGTTGTTCGTAGCCCAGAATTTTGCACCTAATTTCGTAATCGGCACCGCCATGTTCCATCATTCTATGCTCTCCCAGCGGACTTATCATGCTTTGCCTCTTTTTATAAGCTAGATGTTCGTTAATCCGTACACTCAATGGTCGTCCGGTCTCACCGATATAGGTGGCAGAGCACTCCATGCATTCAATTTCATAAACGACACCAGATTTTGCACAATCGCCACGTTCTCCGTACGGGCAAACTACGCAATCACGAGATATACATTCGGTATCATACAGCCTGTTACGGACTAATTGCCTTCTGATGTTGTCTCGCGGTATATTGACTAATACAACATCATCGTCAAGCTGAGTCTGTACCAGACACCGTTTGATCGCAGTAGTTACTCTTTCGTATATAAAAGGCAAGCACAAAGGTATTTTGTCCATAGCTTGTTTGCTTGTCTTTACTGTAGCCCTTCTTGATTGTCTGGGCCGTATACCATATCCATTTGAGGTCATAATCTCGGCTGCCAACTTCAGTGATTCCTGCCTTTAACTACTGCCGTTACAAATGCTTGTCGCTGATCTTAACATGTTGCGGACAACGGCGCGTTTAACAACCATTGGGTGTGCGGACTTCGCATGCAAGATGATATCCTTACTACTCTCTTTACGGAACCATTTTATGCGCACCGTGCCATCAACCACCATCAATTGTGTATTTAGAAAAGGCAGCCAACCGTTGCGCGGTTTCTCTCGTGTAAAGCTTATGCATTGCGACTGTTGATTCGGTAGTTCAAAGTACTCGTCCATCTCCGACTGTGTAGATGTAGCTATGCAACAGTCGTCGATTTAGCGGCAATACATGGACCCCTGGATAGCACCGGTTCTTCTATTAGGTTGTCCGGAAATTAATGCAGGTTTTGAATTCCAACCGCAATAAGTCATACACTTCTTATTTCTAAGTAGGTTGCAATACATCATTCGATAGAGCAAAGCAAGCTCTACAAGATGGCAGTCTTGATTTTGCAACAGCTCTAATCCACCACGAGTTTCGAGCCAAAAACTAAAAAGATTCAACTACTCAAAAAATCGAGAAAAATCGTAACTCAGTTCATAAAAATCCTACAAAAATTCTAATTCGCTCACGTAAACACTATCCACATAAGACATCTATGTACGCCGTTGCCGTATTTTTTTCTCGGTTAGAAACCAAGAAAACGAAGATTTTTATGTTTCTGCCAAAGTGATCCTGTGCCGTTCCCACATAAGTAGTTGTATACATACTACTTTACCTGTAGAAGTACAAACGTAAATTTCCAGCTCTCTACAAGCTTTAGTTTTCGAGAAATATCGAATACACTTTTCCTAGTCATGTGGTTCAAGCTAAAATTCAAATTTCTCGAGAACTTCAGTTCTCGAGAAACTTCAGTTCTCGAGAAATTTGAATTTTAGCTTGAACCACATGACTAGGAAAAGTGTATTCGATATTTCTCGAAAACTAAAGCTTGTAGAGAGCTGGAAATTTACGTTTGTACTTCTACAGGTAAAGTAATATGTATACAACTACTTATGTGGGAACGGCACAGGATCACTTTGGCAGAAACATGAAAATCTTCGTTTTCTTGGTTTCTAACCGAGAAAAAAATACGGCAACGGCGTACATAGATGTCTTATGTGGATAGTGTTTACGCGAGCGAATTAGAATTTTTGTAGGATTTTTATGAACTGAGTTACGATTTTTCTCGATTTTTTGAGTAGTTGAATCTTTTTAGTTTTTGGCTCGAAACTCGTGGTGGATTAGAGCTGTTGCAAAATCAAGACTGCCATCTTGTAGAGCTTGCTTTGCTCTATCGAATGATTTATTGCACCCTACTTAGAAATGAGAAGTGTATGACTTATTGCGGTTGGAATTCAAAACCTGCATTAATTTCCGGACAACCTAATACTTTGTTCATAAAGCATATGGCAAGCACGGGTGCTAAGCGTTGGCCCATCGCCAGTCTTCGTATTTGTGCAAAATATTTTCCCGACCATTTGAAAATATTGCAAGCTAAGCATTCCTTGATAAGCGTCATGATGCGCGTCTTGCGTGGCCATATGTCAAGATCGTTCTACCCTGTGTCTCGAGCATCTCAGCTAACGCCTGTAAAGCTTTTTCATTGGATACATTAGTATACAATGACGTGACATCAAAGGACTCTATCGCGCAATCTGAGGTGAAATTCGTTTTGCGCAAGAGATCAAGAAAATGATTAGTGTTGCTCAAATGAGCAGGTATTTTGCACAAAAGTTGGCTGATAATTTTATTGAGGAACCAGGCTATACGATCGGTTGGTCCGTTGACACAACTGACAATGGGTCGTATCTTGTACGAACTAGCGGCTTCGGATTGCATCTCGGACGTAAGGAGTTTGTGCGTCTTGATCAAACTGTAAAAGACAGGGCATGCGGGTGTTTTTATTTCAAGCCGACTAAGGAACTTCTCATTCAAACCAGCTTCTTTTCCTATCACTTTCCATATGTGGTTTAACCGTTTGCATTGCGTCAGAAACTCTTTCTCATTCGAGGGTTGGTAAACCGTTTTATCTGACAAATGTAACTCGGTTATCTCACGATCTAGGGCCTGAGGCATGACGACGAATTCGCCGCCTTTATCGCACACCGACAAGCGGATGGTACCGTTGTTGGTCAGTTCCTTCAACTCTTTAAAACTCTGCTGCTGTGCGTATGTCAAGTTGAATTTTGTAGTAAAATTAAAACTAAATCAAATAAAATTAAAGTAAAGTAATCAAAACACAGTCGGAGATGGACGAGTACTTTGAACTACTGAATCAACAGTCGCAATACATAAGCTTCACACGAGAGAAACCGCGCAACGGTTGGCTGCCTTTTCTAAATACACAAGTGATGGTGGTTGATGGCACGGTGCGCATAAAATGGTTCCGTAAAGAGAGTAGTAAGAATATCATCTTGCATGCGAAGTCCGCACACCCAATGGTTGTTAAACGCGCCGTTGTCCGCAACATGTTAAGATCAGCGACAAGCATTTGTAACGGCAGTAGTTAAAGGCAGGAATCACTGAAGTTGGCAGCCGAGATTATGACCTCAAATGGATATGGTATACGGCCCAGACAATCAAGAAGGGCTACAGTAAAGACAAGCAAACAAGCTATGGACAAAATACCTTTGTGCTTGCCTTTTATATACGAAAGAGTAACTACTGCGATCAAACGGTGTCTGGTACAGACTCAGCTTGACGATGATGTTGTATTAGTCAATATACCGCGAGACAACATCAGAAGGCAATTAGTCCGTAACAGGCTGTATGATACCGAATGTATATCTCGTGATTGCGTAGTTTGCCCGTACGGAGAACGTGGCGATTGTGCAAAATCTGGTGTCGTTTATGAAATTGAATGCATGGAGTGCTCTGCCACCTATATCGGTGAGACCGGACGACCATTGAGTGTACGGATTAACGAACATCTAGCTAGTAAAAAGAGGCAAAGCATGATAAGTCCGCTGGGAAAGCATAGAATGATGGAACATGGCGGTGCCGATTACGAAATTAGGTGCAAAATTCTGGGCTACGAACAACAAATTTCTGCACGAAAAGCCTTACAATTAGAAGCATCCTACATTCTTGTCCGAGACCCGAAACTAAACAGCAAGAATGAGAAATTATCTTTGACGAGTGATCTACTGCCGTATCTGTCGTTCTGTGAACTATAGGAATGTTTGCCCATATATAAGCAACATTGTGTCATCTTGGTCAGCTCATTTGTCGCATTCGGTCACAACAGCTGACACATCGAGTGGCTATCCGCTGCAACACGGTGATACATTTGGTGGGTGCACAGCTCCTCCTGAACTCTCTATTTTCACTTGAGACGAATCGAATGGCAGCTAGGATGAGGTGTTTGGCGGCTCAGAACGTGTATCACTATAACTGACACCTTTTCAGCCTCTGAAGACGGCGTCCTGCCGAAACGTCAGGCAATAAAGTTGTATCACCATCAACAACCTGTATACGGCACAGCAAAGTAATTGGAATTGACCATATGTCCAATTGTAAGAGAGATTCAGCGCTGTCAATGCAAGTATCATAGCGCCCTCGCATGAGCCATACGCGCATATCTGCTATAGTCGTCCCACTAGACAGCTAGTGAACCAATTCAAACTTAAACTCAAGCACGCCGATTACGGCAGAACGCGGCACGTGCTTCTTTACTTCAATCTCAAACAATTTTTTGTGTTTTCTTGACGCTTCATTTTATCTTTTTTTGATGCCAGCTGTCTTTTTAAATGGAATTGAAGATTTGGCTTTTGAGCATTTTTCGTGCTATGCTCGTTTTCAGTTCTAATTTCAGATTAAGCTTGGAGAAACGATTAAATTTGAGGATTGTGGTAGTGAAATCTTTTCTTGATAGTTAACCTATCTTGCTTGATTGGATTTTATGTCAAAACCCCATGTGCATCGTTTTACCAACCTTACGTGAGAACTGAGCTGAAGAAACGATGGTAATGTGAAATATCGCTAAGCAACAACAAACTCATCGATATAACGAAGGTCATTAAAACGAAAAGTCACCATGCAACGACGAGAAAATACAAAAGAATACTGCATGAGCTTGAAATGGATTTGATGGTGAGGCGCTCTGCCGCAGCGCTTGCTTAGGGCGTGCTTTAGTTAAAATTCGAATTCGTTCACAAATTGTCTACGGGGGGGGGGGGGGGAAGAGAGAGAAAGGCGACTATGCACGCGAGAACTCCGCTTTTGGCAACGTATCGTCCCTTCCTCAATTTTTTATTAGGATTTTCCATTAGTGTCATTCAGACTTGCCCTTAGTTGCAAATCAGAGTGAATGATAGGAACTATATGAGATTTAACTTTAACAAATTTTCCCTAGTTTGAATATCTGACGTTTACACTACATTTATACCTCTTCTGCCGCAGAGCAACGCGCATGTATGGGTTTTGCACTGTCCACTGCACTACGACTTCGTTAGTGAAGGTATCCTTGGAGAAGTGGAAAGGAGCAAGTCCTTCTTTGAGTAGATCAGTCACCTAAAGTGTACTATTCAATGGAAACTTGGTATGAAAAACGCTTACACTTTGAGCAATCGCGGAAGATATAGCTTTCTGTATATTCGGAATCCAGTCCTTGCATTTACTTAGTCGGTTTGTATATTGGATAGTTGGATTCAACTGTACTGTGACTAAAGGCTGAATTCTGTAATCCTTCCACTCCAGTGTGACCTCAACCGTCGAGCTTTCTGATAATGCACTGAAATTTGAAAAGATCTTCAGATGTTTTCAGAATCGGTTTCCAAATCAGCTACACGTTTTTTTTGTTCGCGGGAGTTCTTATCATGGCGTCTAAGCTGAGTGTAGTTTGAGAAGTTTGTGTTATCACAGCAAAGAACTGGGAAACGTTTTAAACTTGAGCGAGTAAAATTACAAGGATTCATTGAAAAACTACAGATATTTTCTGCTTCAACCTCCAAAAATGCTAATATCGAGGTAATCAGTTTTTATAGTAGCAAATTACTCAAATAGACTAGTAATAATTACGCGATAGCACTATCATACAAGTACTGTGAGTGCGCAGACTTACTTGATTTAGTTTTTTGCAGCTCCATGGTTTACTCATTAGCGCAACAATTATGATCGCAATCGTAGTGTCACAAGAGCAAAACTCTTACTGAGTCCGTATGTAATGACTATCGCTTTTGCCGACGATGAAATAAAGTGTTAGCACTGCAGCCGATAACCAAAAAATACTTGCGGCTAGTAAAACCCAAATTTTGTACATTTGTAAGAGAAACGATAGTGCAAGTTTACTTGCTTGATTAGCAAACGTGAACGGACTTACCTCAAACTGCCGCTGCAGCTGGTTACTGGGATCCATTTTCCAGCGATCGGGATTCCTATATCCACTTTAGCTTTTGTTGTAATATGAAACACCACTGCCCTCATCTAAATCATGAAGCAATGTCCAAACAAGCGTAATTGTTCATTTGCAGCCCTAAATCCCCTCTATCTTCACTGCTTATCTCCTTCGCGTCGCCTTGGCTTTTGGCTCATAGGATGACTCCTTCTCTTAAAATCTCTCGGTTAGGAAAGGTGAATATTCTCTGAAGCATTGCAAAAAATATTGGAGTGCGTCGTCAAAGTTACGCCGTTTTAATAGGAAAAACTTTGGCTCCTCATTCTCGAACGATATTTTTCAAACTACCACCGAAGGGTTGTGTCTACATGGTAGCTTCAAAATCTTTGAGGTGGAGTTCTGTTGTGTACAAGGATTATACATGAATTCCAGTTCAAGCACGAAAATCTCGTCATATAGAGCTTACTTTGCTCTTTCGCATGCTTTCTTACATGCCGTTTACAATTTTAAAATGTCTTCACAGCTCAAGAAATCCCATCATTATCGTACAAACCTAATAGTTCAAAAACTTCTCAAAATTATTGGCAAAAAATGTTTCTTGTTTTTACGCAGAAAGCAGCAAGCCAATGCCTTCTGAGTGTATTGATTAGCCTTGCCTAAACAGTCAAGTCACATAGTGACAGTTTTAAATGCTCTCAATACATTGAAAACGATTCCTCCAACAATTAACATCAAGTTGGTTATCAGATTCAGACAGTAGGATGGTGTCACATTCAAAACCGTTTCTGACTTCGCAACTCATGTTATCGCCCCAATTTCACGCGTACAGGGCCCGTCTTTTTTCGCGAGCCGCTCAGTCGCTTCACTACATTTCGGAAAGCGCTCCTTAAGCCGCACGATTCTCTCAAACAATATACAGCAGGGTATAGGATTGGCCCTTTTTGCGAAGTCCTCCAGCGTGTTTGGGCTGGTCGATTTCACCGCGCCTTGTACGCAAATTAGGGTACTCTATTTCATTTACAAGCGATCTTTCTATGTAGAACAATGAAGTTTGCACCTTTCTTACTTTCCGGTTTCCAATAGTTTGGTTTATCATAAGTAAGGGTTTTCCAAAGACGTAGCAGTAAGCAATCTAGTAATCCTTAGTTACTTACAATCAGCCGCACACCGTTGTTAGTCTTCACAAAACTGTTGTTTTTCGAAAGCGAAATTCTTTCGATGACCTCGTCCCATATTTTGTACTTTGCTCGTTTCTCCTATAAAAATGGTATAGTTGGCTTAGATATGATATAGGAAGCATTTGTCTGAGCTGATATCAAACATTTTGTGAAATATCAATTTGAATTGACTTGGCCGCTTCTTGGTTGTAACTCGCTGTTTACAGCATCCTTGATTGAGTTCACGTTCTTCTCAAGTGTCTCCCAGATTTTCGGTGATACTGTGAAAGACAGTATTTCGCTGCCATTATTATATGCACCAAGAGTATTTCCACTGAAAAGTGAAATGTGAGGGTTCAAACATCAAATGCAGTTCTATATAGTTAGCATAGTAATCAGAATCTAGTGAATGAAAAAAATTATTTGCCTTATGAGGTTAAAACATTGATTACGTTGGCAGAGAAGACAAGACTTGCATTACTAGAAGCGTTTTTGAACGCCGATTCCAAATCTGCTTTTCTTTTCTGCGGAACAACTTTCCGAAAAAAGTCATGAACGTTTCGATGTTTAAACTTGTCAAGCTTTACATGGCATTTAGTAAAAAACTGTGCAAAAACACCTCTGCGGATTTCCACAGGTTGTGTTCCTCCCTTGTAGTCCATATACATACAAAATTGCTTTCCCAAACTTTTAAGATTTTTTGTAGAGCTTTTCGCTGATTTTATGCCACTTGAAGCATGATAAATTTGGGCATTTGAACGCTCATAACTACTTTCCCAAAGTTGTTCAACAAAAACGAAAAGCAGATCTGGAATCAACGTTCAAAAGTGCTTCTGTCAATATCTTCACGTCTTCGATCACACTCAGTCGGTATCCTTCCCTTTTTAGATCTAAAAATTTATTACCTGCTCCTGCGTGTAGCAAACACAGTACCACTTACGTACACACTTGCTATCACTCTTTACCTGGTTAAAAAGGAAAGAAAAAAATTTCCTCACATGCAGTTGTGTACCACAAACCTTGAACTTTACCCATGAAATTTCAGCTTTCTACTGTGATGCCATTTCTGCAACTAATAAATTTAAGATAGACGGAGAACATTTGACAAACAAAATCGCGCACAGAATTTTTGAGGAAGATCGCTTTTCTATCTAGTTCCCGTCTAGCGCAAAGAAAGAAACGAAACTCAGATACTACATCATGTTCTCATCATGGAACTGTTTTACAAGATACGGTAAATCATTTACATAAGTAAATATCCTTAACGATGCAACCAGAGCAAAAAAGGTTTTTCACGGTAAGCGCACTTCTCAAGTTGAATCAGAACGCCTGCGTTACAGTTTACTAACAAATCAGGTGAGAAGCAATTCTAAAACAGTGTTCCATGAGATTCCCTAAGGTCGAGAAATTGTCCTAGAGCTCGTTCACTCAATCCTCAAAAGTTTACAAGCAAAGCAATTGCCACACAGCAGACTCAACCACTACCTCAGAGACTGCACGGATGATTAGTGCAAATGCTATGCACGCTCACAACTTCTTCTTGCATAAAGAGAAAGAGCTCTGGAATTACCAAGCTCTAGCTGTTGTTTTGCGTCTTATACTAATTGGTTATCTTAGGTTCGTGGCCCTCCCTTGTTCGCGCACGACCTATGAACATGGGCACGAAACTAGCCCAGGAGACCAGAACTGAGATTTTGTAACGCAAGCACAAAAGCATAGTTCAGTTAGCAAGGCAATAAATACCTAGGACAATCAACAGATGAGATAATCTCAAGGTTTGGCTGCAAGCGCCTTGAAGGCACTGTCCACCCAAAATGGGGTCTATGAGATTTCAATGTCTGACAGTTGTGGGGCCCTCAAATACAACTGCCCAATTCGCGCCGCTGAAGTTGCTTTCAAGCGAATAAACCCTCAGAAAATTATTGCTAGCATCCGCGGCTTCTAACACTGCCTTTTGGCAGTGCGCAGACGTTAAATTTCGGGATTGACCATTCGCGGCCCTAAATCATTTGTTTGACAACGCGCGGCTCAATGTTATCGCAAGGGAAAGACCGCGGGCCTTAAATGTTTCGTCGGAACACCCGCGGCCCAAGGAAAAGCACTCGGGCGAACCCCGGGCCTTACAGGGCACCCTGCATATTTGATTTTCGGGCAAGCCCCGGCCCTTCACGCCACGGCCCAACGGAATCACTCTGGCGAGCCTCGGGCCTAACTGGACGCTGCGATTCTTACGAGCTGTAAGAGAAAATGTCACTGCGTGAGATACGCCGCGATGATAGGGCTACCCTCAACTTTTGTCATGTGATTCATAAGTCAAGTGTAAGGTTTTAGTCCTCAGCATGTGTCAGGTAACACACCGGGGTTCTTATTTTGGAAGTTGATGGGGATTGATTGGAATTTTGGAGTGGTCTAGACGTTAATTCTATTTTTGGGTAGATCTTTACGCTAGACTGGAAATGGGAACATTTTCAAAATTCATAATTCGGATACTGGGTGGGTATCGGGCCATCCGCGGGTGCATATCGCGCAATTATCGGGCGCTTGCAGGGACATCCGAGGGTGTCACTCGAGCGCTTATCGGCGCATCCACGGGTAATTCTCGGCCGCTCAGCGTGCGTTTATTCTACATACCACCCGCGGCATGGATGAAATGTCGGCGGGGGCCCTTCCGCGGGCGGTTGCAATAATTGTCTGAGTCGTTTCGAAAATCCTTCGAAGACGGATTCGCCACGTTGGGTCCTCTCTAGCAAGTGGGCAGTACGTTCGTCCCTTCCCACGCAGTGATTTCGCCTAACAAAGCTTAAGAAATCGATTGCATCATGCGAGAGTGCGTCTTTGCCCTGCGATGGGCCCGCAGCTAGCCCGCGGCTGACCGACAGGCGCATGGAGTGCTCGTCTACTGCGAATTCTGGAAGGCATCCAAAACTTAATAATTTGAGACTTTTGTTCAATTTTAGCCTGAATTCGGACACAGCCGGCGCTAGAAGTGCCAAAAAGGACAAAAACTCAAAATCGAGGATACGAGTGGACATTGCCTTCAAGGTAACTATGACAGGGAAAAGATACTATGAGGATATGAACAGGCTGCACAGGCCGCAACGAAACTGCATCTGCAACCGAATTAGTGTGAATTAGCAGAGCAACTGCTAGAGGGTCGACAACGTTTCGCTCCTTTCTTTGGGATCCCCTTTCAGAAAGATGGTGTGTGCTGTACCTTTACTAGCAGAACCTCATCGTTACGACCTCGTATTCGGCATCATTAACAAAATTTTAGCTACCGAAGTTTTGATTCAAACATCTGCACAATGCGCAAAAAATGGCTACCGTTTGATTAACAAATTGAGATGACATGCACCGCACCTTAGCTTAGAATCAAAATACCGCAAATCCGTGAAAATCCCGAAAAGGAAAAGACGCTTGCATCACCTTTGAGGAGACAAAGGCGGCTCAAAAGAAAGCTCTAAACCCCCGAATTTTGCTCTACAAGTCGCAATTCCGAGCTTTTATATGGTCCCTTAATAATCGGTCAAATGTCTTCAAAGTCATTTTTTTCTTTCTTTGAAGTTAATGAAAACATTCCTAAGTTGTACTGACTATCTCATCCAGCTAAGCATGTTTTGACAAGGTAATATATCGATCATGAATTTCGATGAACTTACAGGAGTTATAAAAATGCGCAAGTTACTTGTTTATTCTTGTAAACAATTAAAATAATTTTTAAAAATGAAAAAAAAATTTAAATTAGCCTTGTAAAAAAATTTTTTTGGAAGCGTGGCTGACGCCACGCCCCCTTTTTCCAAATTTTAGGGGGTGGGAACCCGCAAAAATTGTAAGAAGCACGCCAAAAATTTTTTCGGAGTGCGTGACTAACGTCACGCACCTTCATCGGAAAATTTTTTGCCCCCCCCCCTCGGACGGAATTTTGGGGCCGCCACTGTTATATATACACATGGGGATGTTCAGACCTCATAAAGCCCATAACGCTGGAGCTTCAAAATAGAAGCTCCCCTTTAGGCCCAAGACAGAGTTCACGCGATTGAATCGCGACAAGACAACTGCTACAACATCATTGCATGCCGATCAACTTGCATTCGGTTGTGATAGTTAGTCACGATTGGTCGTGTTGGAGAACTATCACAACCGAAATGCAGGAAGATCGGCATGCAATGAACTCGTAACATTTGTCTGTAGCGATTGAATTGCGGCGATCAAATCGCGTGAATTCTGTCTTGGGCCTTAAGCTGCTTCTCCCTCTCCAACGGGGATCTAAATGCATGCGGTCCTATTCCAGAACCAACCAGCTCCTCGAGCGGCCGGCTTGTAGAAAACAAACAAAATGAATACCCCTCTATACGAGGAGATGGGTCTACATGTGTAGAGATTGGGCGAATGGGTCAGTTGTTGCCTATAATGGAAAGGGTAGGTACTAAACCCGCCTTTGGCCTTATTTTTGCATCTGAAAGAAGTGTTGCCAACCGCTATCAAATTCGATTAATAAAGGAAGTAAAGGTTTGTGACCTTTTGTCAGAATAGAAAATCAAAACACTAGTAATGATTGGAAAAAAATCGCTAGAATCAACTTGGACCAATCACCGAAAAATTAGAAAAAACATTTTAATGAGAGGAAGCCTTCCCGAATTTTCGCTGTAATCAGCGTTTCATCGACACTTTCCAATGTATCGAGACCGTACCTTCGGGGTTCTTGTGTTGCAAGCACGCGAGCAATTTACGGAGATTTTGTTTGACTGTCCTCATTTCCACGCTGTCTTTATGAGCTCAACGTTCGATATCTATCTTTAATCACGGCGGCGCATTAAATTTGCAGCAGGAAGCGGCTGGAAACTCTTTTAGTAACTCAAATTGCGCGCTTTCTGCTACCTTTGCGCTATAAAAACGTAAAACGGAAATGATCATTTTTGAAACGTTTGATAACACCCGACAGCCGTAATGTGCCTGCAAAAAATGAAGTGTAATCACCACTGCTTGTCCAGTCATGTGCAGCAAAATTCATAACGTCCAATAACTGTTTTTTATGGAAGTGTTTTGGAGTGTTTTGGATAAACCAAAGTTTTTGGATTAAGCCAGGGCTCTCTGGTCCTCTCAGACAATCGCAAGTTACTTCCGCACCCAACTAAACTTCTAACTTACTTCCGGGGGCGGACGCTCCTATAGGGGCGCGTGGGTGGGCCCCGCCCTACGTGGCAGCTCCAAAATAGGAGTATTCCCCCGGAAGTTTCAAAACTTCAGTTCTCATCGGAAGTCATTTGCAAATGTCTGAGCTATTGTCTCGTGCACGCTCAAGTGTAGACGAAATGTCGTGACACTACGAAGATTTATTTGAAAATCGGTCACAACCTATTTTTGGATTGAGTGTCCTAAATGGCGTTTCTGTATGGATGCTCTGTATAGAAGGAGACATTGTTGCGAGGTGCGACACTTCCCGTAAGTTAGCTCCTCCACCATAACAACCGTATGTTGCATCATGTTAAAATCATACTGCATAGAGCCTCTTATTTTCCTGATGATTATTCCCCTTTTTTCAGTTTGTTGCTGCGTTATATTTCTTATACTCCTACACCCTTTTAGATTCACTTTCAGCGCTTCTCGCTGCTTCTTCTTCTTCGCTTATTGTCCTTTATAGAGCTACAGCTACGCTATCTACACTATCAAACCACTAACTTTCATAATTGTATGTACTATACAAGTCAATGTGCACTCTAATTTTGTTCACTTTGAATGCTTCAACTATACAATCAGATGACTCACCTTATCGCTTTTAGAAGAGACACGACGACGAGAACTGTACTGGCCAGCATAGCTGCCTGTAGCTTTTTGTAAATTGTGCGATCTTTTATACCATTTTGATTTAAAAAAATATCATTGAAACTCTTATCTGTTAGTTGCTTCAATGTACTGTCACAATTTGATAAGCAGAAATTTTTTCACGAAAGCTTCGTGCAGTTGTCAAGACCTTCTCTGTTTAGTAGCGGATATAATTTGCACAGTTGATATGCAAGGGGATAGCATACTGTCCTTGCGCTTCGCCTTAGCTAACAATAAATTATAAAATATTCCCAAAAAATGGCATCTAGGTCAACATTCAATATTCTTTGAATCGTCGTATAACGATGAAGGTTATCAGTATGAGAAGGTTGATTAGGTAATGCTTGATGAAAACTCATATTAAACATGTGACATATTTTAACGAGCAGGGATATGATGAATGGTCGAAGTCTTTCAAGATGTATAGCCTCGAGGGCGGCATGGTGTGCCTCGACAACCGTCGTTGCTCCATCTAAGTGCTAAGAAGTTTATTACGACTAATCTCAACCTAGTAGGACATTCAATTCTCTGCTCTGATACTACAGGGCTTCCCAAATGTGTGTATACACTGTTTAATCGTTAATATCTCTCCTCCCAAGAAATCTGTTGCCTATCTTCAAGTACCATTTTGTAGAGCTGGCTTCAACTTAAGTTTACAGTATGGAGCAAATGGCCGATCGCTTTTCATTACTGTAGTACGGCATAAACTTTTGGCTTACAGCGTCATTGTGGATTGATCACGTTTCAAGAAAAAATTTCAGATGATCTGAAAAGTGATGTACCAGAGTTTTCAGGTATGCTGAATTCGTTACAGGACTTCTTACGAGCTTGTAATGCTTTTCAAATGGTGTAGACACTGTTTTAGGGAGCAGTGTAAAAACAGCTATTGCGATCTACCTGGCATGACTTATGAAGGAAGTATTGTAGTAAAGCGTAAACTTCATATTTGATTTTAGCGGCTCGAATTAGCCTAGTATAAGAGTATTCAGGTTGCTTGGTTTGTTTTAGGCAGAATAAGGTCATTAATGGCTCAAAACCCTTCTCGAAGTCTCTACTAATCCTACAGTAAAGGTGTGCGATCGGATCCGTTCCATTCTACAAATCTAACAAGGGAAGCGTGTTTAGTCGAAGTGGCCTTTTCAGATAAGACTCATACTGCTTTGGAAAGTATTGCACAGTGATTCCAAATCTGCCTTCATTATCTACCAAGCGCCTCTGGACGCCGAGTTATGAACGTTTTTCGTGTCAAAAAATTGAACGCAAGATTGGAGCAAAATCGCCCAAATTTGCTCAAATGCTCCGGAGTCGAGTATCAGAACAGTTCATGCAATAAATACATTTTGTTCAATATGCGAATACTTAACACTTTATCTGAGCGCTGGAAAGAAGTCAACAATTGATTTTACCTAGATTCTGCATTCATTTTTTGTTCCAGAAAACGTTCATAACTCGGCGTCCAAAGGCGCTTGGCAGATAATGAAGGCAGATTTAGAGTCATCATGCAATGCTCTTCAAAGCGGTATGAGTCTCATTCAGAAACGCCACTTCGACTAGACACGCTTCCCTTGTAAGTTTAAGCCAGCTCTGCAAAACAGTGTTCAAGGGTAAGCAAAAGACTTCTTGGAAAAAAGATATTAAAGATCAAACACTGTATACATACTTTTCGGACACCCTATATTATAACTACTATCTCAGAAATTCGCAGCAGATAAGGAAAGAAGAGTTGGAATCAGCCTCCACGCCTTTTAAGGCACTGCACATCGGCTAGATGCAAATAGTTTAGTGCAAAATAATGAGCATTTTGCGTGTTCTCTGCTATACCTTTCTCTACATCTAGAAAACCATCAGAAGCAGCAAACTTCTCGCATCAGAGTGCGCATAGCAGGAAAATATGGAATAACAAAAAAGTTTGCTTGAAATTACGTGAATCATAACTCCCTTAAATTCAAAAAAGACTTGCGAGAAGAAAAAAAAAAACAAAATCCAAGATTGTCAGGGTTTGTAGTAATCTGGTCGAAACTCCGAGTATAGCGCTCCGCGATAACTGATAATAACTTTGGGCTTCTTTACCAATTCCAGAGTTTTGCTTATTGAATTTAAATTCCGCCTTCAAAGTTCCGAGTTCCAACTCTGAAGCTCAAACTTTCGATTTGCTGTCTGAGGAGTTGTTATGCACGTTGAAGCGACTGCAAAAGCGACGTCCAGACTGGGACCAGAACCTGTTTGGCTTAGCGTATTGATCCCATCACTAAAACACTTAGCCACAATCCCACTCCTCAAAATATTAGGTTGATGCACAATTCTTGCACCAAAACAGACAACAATAATACATATTTCTTTTATGTCCTAAATAATTCCTGATATACCATTTTCGATAGAGCAAGGTTAGCTCTACAAGATAGTGCTTGAAGTTTTAGGCCTAAAGCATACCTCACGCGATTCCAGTCGCTGCGCGATTTAGTTACTGCAGCGACTGCTCATGATTGGTCGTAAGCGGCTTTGATTGAGCCGGACCTGATGCTTCTGCTATAAGCTTACACAAGCTATGTGCCCATGCATTCGAGACCCGCGCACGGTTGATTTGTGAAAATCTGGCAAACCGCCAAGTCGTGAGGATGTAGCGATTTGACGAAATCGCGCAGAGTATGCCTTAGGCCTTAGCAAGCACCGCGTTGCGCGAAAGTTAGGCGGAATAACGGCGGCTGGCGCCTAACTTTGTCGCTGACGCCTAACTTTTTTAGAAAAAAGACCATATCTTGATTCAAAATTTCAAAATTCTATATTTAAGAGTACCATTCAACTCAGCTCGGCGAGGCCATCTTGCAGTATACAAATGTGCCTAGTCGTGGGACATAGGTTTTTTTCCTGGAAATTTACTATAAATGGATCATTCAGTGTGCTGATTCCAGAGGCTACATACACATTCTATTAAGCCCTGCAGAAATACGGCAGGTAATACGCAAAGGTGTAAAGCTGCGCGTAGTGCCCCCCCCCAGTAAATTCAAGAAGAAACTTTCGATAGTACTTCTTCTATAGATTATGGGGCGCTAAGAATTAGCTGCACACTTCTTTCAACGGAGATAGAAGGGCTGATGAATTCTGGAAAAATCATGTCGTTCTAAATTTTTCTCACTGTAACTCTAAAATATGAAGCTCTCTTGCTAAGCAGATGTGATTTTCGTAATCAGCAGGTCGGATAACCCTTATGAGCAAGTTTTCCGAGATGTTCGGTTGATTTCATTTTTTCTCGTTACGCTCTTAAGCTCGACGATGGATTTTGGTCAAAATGTTGATGATCTTGAAATGTAAGGAAACTTCGCTTGTAGAGATTTTTAGGCACATTTTTTACGAAAATCGCGGTCTTTGAGGATTACAGGGTCCTTTTGGAGAGATATGGTGAGGTGACTGTAACTGAGTCACGAAAGTGCGTAACTTTGCCCACACTTCTCGCGTACCTGTCAGAGAACTTGCTTCTAGAGTTTTACTGGGAACTGTGCCATCGAACGGTGCATGCCTCACACTCCACTGTACAGAAATCGCCGAGTTACGAGCCTACGAAAATACGTCCTCATGAATTTTGCTTAGAGTGTAAAGATCGCATATTTCGTCGAAATTCCACCGTGAGTGCTTGTATGACACTCGCATTGCGGATATTATGTTCGTTTCGCCCAATGATTCCCACTGTAATGAATACGGTGCTTGCGTGTGCTGCTCAATTGAATATCAAAGCTATTTCGTGGCTAAAGCTCAAACCACCAAAGCTAACACTATAAGATCCATCAAGGATGTGAAAAGATTTGATCTACGTGTTGTATAAGCACTCACGGTGAAATTCCGACGAAGTATGCGATCTTTACATCTTGGGAAAAATTCATGAGGACGTATTTTCGTAGGCTCGTAACTCGGCGATTTCTGTACAGTGGAGTGTGAGGCATGCACCGTTCGATGGCACAGTTCCCAGTAAAACTCTAGAAGCAAGTTCTCTGACAGGTACGCGAGAAGTGTGGGCAAAGTTACGCACTTTCGTGACTCAGTTACAGTCACCTCACCGTATCTCTCCAAAAAGACCCTGTAATCCTCAAAGACCGCGATTTTCGTAAAAAGTGTGCCCGAAAACCCCTACAAGCGAAGTTTCCTTACATTTCAAGATCATCAACATTTTGACCAAAATCCATCGTCGAGCTTAAGAGCGTAACGAGAAAAAATGAAATCGCCCGAACATCTCGGAAAACTTGCTCATAAGGGTTATCCGACCTGCTGATTACGAAAATCATATCTGCTTAGCAAGAGAGCTTCATATTTTAGAGTTACAGTGAGAAAAATTTAGAACGATATGATTTTTCCAGAATTCATCAGCCCTTCTTCTCCTTTGGGAAGTGTGCAGCTAATTCTTGGCGCCCCATAATCTACAGAAGAAGTACTATCGAAAGTTTCTTCTTGAATCTACTGGGGGGGGGGGGGGACTGCGCGCAGCTTTACACCTTTGCGAAGAGACGTCCGCAGAAAGTTTCAAGAGTTGAAATCGAGATATCAAGGACATTCTGCATATTGAAAGATTCGCCTTGATGAGCTGAACACAACGCTTTTTACGGATTCAAAAATATCCACTCCAAAGAAAGTTACGGCGAGTTGAATCTGAAAACGAGTAATGTGATTTTTCCAGAATTTATCAACGCTTTTTTCTCCTTTGAAAAGAAGTCTGCGGCTGCTGTCTAGCACACTATAATGTACAAGAAAAGCACTATCAATTGGTACTTACCGGAATCTTTTATTTGGATAGGCGCTGCGTTACATCCCTGCAAAGGCACCTCCGCAGAAAAATTTGAGAAAACTGGAAACAGGTATAAAGGGCAAGACGTATGTAGAAAGATTCGCCTTGATGAGCTGAACACAATGCTGCTCTCGGATTTAGAATATATTCATTCCGAAGGAAGTTATGGCGCTGCATAATTTGCGATATTCCGAAATCGCGAAATTTCTGATTCCCGTTCTGTGGCTGGTATTGTACATTGCACAGCACGCGCGGCATTCCACGATAAGTGCTTCGCATGCGATTTCCGCCATTCCCCTTTGCCTTCCTGCATTTTGGGACCCGTCATACTTCGCCGAGAATAGCCCAATTTCACACATATCCGTGCAGAGTGAGCTCTTAAACTATACCTGCCGCATTTCTGCAGGGCTCAATAGAATGTGTATGTAGCCTCTGGAATCAGCACACTGAATGATCCATTTACATTGAATTTCCAAGAAAAAAACCTATGTCCCACGACTAGGCACATTTGTATACTGGAAGATCGTCTCGCCGAGCTGAGTTGAATGGTACTCTTGAATATAGAATTCATAAATTTTGAATCAAGATAAGGTCTTTTTTCTGAAAAAGTTAGGCGTCACGCGACAAAGTTAGGCGCCAGCCGCCGTTATTCCGCCTAACTTTGTCGCGCGACGCTGTGCTTGCCGCCTAACTGCGGCGGCGCCGCGTGAGTTGAGTGTCGCCGCCAATTTTTTCCACAAATTACGAGTGTATTGTACACTGTAGGACCTGAGAAGCATGAGTATGAATTTCCAGCTTTTTACAGCAACTGATTTACGAAAAATATCGAATTTTTGGCAACTAGGCAAAAATTCGGATAAAAAGGGAAGATCAATCTTTTTCGTGAACTAGCCCTTCTAAAGGGCTAAAATTGTAAAGTTTTACTGCTAAAGACACTAGCATTCGGTTATGACAGTGGAATAGAGAAATTTCGGCGAATTCGCCAAAGTCGCGGATGTCGCCGATGTCGGCGACTTTGCGTCTTTTCGCCATAAGTCCCTCCATTGTCAATGAATATCAAATTTGAAGGCAGATTTGGATTCAGCTCGCCGACACGAATCTTTTCCTATATCGAAATGCTGTAAACGGCTCGGTCACGGTAAGTGCATGGTAGGAGTCCGTTGCATCCTGTGGTGTGGGGGGGGGGGGGCGTTAGGTCCCCAGCCATTAGTGGTATGCTCTAAGTCACGCCCTTGGTTGCTTAACAGCGGGTACCTAACGATACACTGAATCTTAGCTGCTAGGACAGCTCACCTGGCTGACTTTCAACTGGCTCACTAAAGCGCTGGCGCTTGCGACCCGCAGAAAAAAGTTCGAAAAAATCAAAAGCAAATCGCGCGAATAAAAGCGCAACGATTTTTCTACCACTTCTTTTTATCATTAATCTTAGAATAACAGAAATTCTGTGGAAAGTTGAAACAGGGTAAAGCAGGCTTTTGTGAACACTTCACATAGTTTTGCAAAAGGAAATTGTGATAGTCTAATCTAACCGATAACGTCAGCGGGAATTCTGACAAAGTAAACTTTGTAGAATTTCAGTAAACTATTTTTATGGTTTTAATGAAGCAAAGCGCAATTTCGCAGATGCCCCTGCCTTAAGTTGGACGGAAATTTTGGCAATGAAAAATGGAACCGATTGGGAGAAGAGTTTCGACGAGAGTTTGTCATCAGGAATCGGAACTCAGTGGAGAATATGTAACCCATTGATTTATGTGAAGGGCACTAGCTCTGTTCTAATCTATGAAAATTTTGCTTTATCGACATGCCAACTTCGGTTGAGTGTTCAATAGAAAACAGAAAAAAGCAACAGACTCTACTGAAAGCAATTATTGACAAAATCTTTCACTTTTTAGTGAGTTACAAAGAAATTCTTAGCTTTGGTTGGATAAATTAATCACATTTTGGCTGCTAGAAAAGAGAATGAATATGAAACAATTTCAATATGAATGTGCTCCAGAAAGACCACTACAAAGAACATAGGCATGATAAGATACAGCTTAATGAAATTTTTATACGGGATGTAAAAAAATAAAAAAATAAAGAATAAATGTGTGCTTATAAATGTAATGTCCCATAATTCTTTTGACCTCAGCAATAACCGAAGCAATAGCCCCAATAATCTACAGTGCAGTTCACAATCTCTGTGGCAATATTAACGCAAAAGGGTTACCCCGATTGGAACAGATAGTGCCCTTCCCATTAATTAATGGGTCACATAGTTCTCCACTGAGTCCCATTCCTGATGACGAATTCTCGTCGAAGCTCTTCTCCCAATCTGTTCCTCTTTTCATTGTCTAAAATTTATTTGAAGCAGTTTTTTTTTTGGAATGAAGAAATTCGTGCAACTTATTTGCCAGGTGCATGTGCGAAATTGCGCTTTACTTCATTTAAATCAAAAAATTAGTTTATTGGAATTCTACAAAGTTTACTTTGCCAGAATTCCCGCTGAAGTTATGGGTTAGATCAGATTATCACAATTTGTTATTCTAAAATTGATAAAAAAGAAGCAGTAGAAAAAACTTGCGCTTTCATACGCGCGATTTGTTTTTGATTTCTTCGAACTTTTTTCTGCGGGTCGCAAGCGCCAGCGCTTTAGTGAGCCAGGTGAGCTGTCCTAGCAGCTAAGATTCGGTGTATCGTTAGGCACTCACTGTTAAAGCAAACAAGGGGCGTGGCTTAGAGTGTACCACTAGTGGCTGTGTACCTAACGCCCACACATCGGCTGGGTACCTAACGCCACGCACCCATCCTGTGGTGGTGTTTTCTAAGGTGTGTATCTCGGCGCATATTGTAGGCAACGGTTTAAGATAAGGAGTATTTCATAGAAGAGTTTTTGTAAAGTGTTCTATGCAGAGAACCATATCGCTTTTGTTGTAAAAAAAGAGAAAGAAGTAGGTGAACTTAGTAAATATACATGAAACACTTACCGTCGAACAAACATAAATATACAGTAACATTAGTATTAGCAAAACATTTATAATCTTTGTAATCAGCATGTCTTGTTGCTTATATGAGCAAAGTGACACATCGCAAGACTACGATATTCTGCTTCCTGCGGACTTCATTTTTTCCTGTAAACGCCTCTTCGCAACGCTGTTGCCCAGCCCCCATCACATTTAAAAGATTCAGGTAAGATAAATCGGAAAGAGCTGTTTCCGTAGAAAATTCAGCGGTGGAAATAGACGGAGACGTGCCTTTTAAGCGTGAAAAGAGGACGGTGAATTCCGGGAAATCCATGTCCATCCAAATTCCACTTACCATAACGCTGCAATGAAAAGCTAGCTAGACAAGCGGAAGGGATTTTTGTGATAAACAGACCACATTACTTCTATGAGCAAAATTTCGGGAAAATCCGATTTCAATTTTTTCACACTTCGCGCCGCGAGCTCTCCACGAGTTTTCGCGAAAAAGTTGAAATTAGTACAATGCCGCTCACATTTTTTTGAAAAATAGACGCGAATGTACATACATGTCGCTACATGTCGCATGGGTGATGCTACATGTGGCTACATGTATGGACATCACAGTCGCGCGGGCATATCTCGCTTCAGATTGGACGAATTGAATCCAAAGCCACCATTCGATTCAGTTCGGCGCGGAGAATCTTTTGTTTTGTTGGAGATGGGGGTATGACGTCTTCGATATTCCGTTTCCAGTTCTCTCAAATTCTTCTGCGGAGGTCCTTTGTCGAGTATGTAAAGCAGCGCCTATCCAACATAGGAGACATTGCTAAGTACTGTTCGATAGTACTGTTTTCGTAGATTATTGTGCGCTAAAAAATAGGCTCAGACTTCTTTCCAAAGTAAACAGAAGCGTTGGTGAATTCTGGAAAATTCACGCGTTTTTAAATTCTAGTCGCCACAATTTCCTTTGGAGTATATTTTGAATCCAAAAACAGTGTTGTGCTCAGCTCATCAAGGCGAATCTTTTCATTTACAGCATGTCCTTGATATTTCGATTTCAGTATTTTTTAATCTTTCTGCGGACATCTCTTCGCGAAGGTGTAAAGCAGCGAGCATTGTCTCGAGTAAATTCCAGCAAAAACCTTTCGATAGTACTTTTTCTGTAGATTTGCGCCAAATAGTAGCCGCAGATTTCTTTTTAATGGAAATGGAAGGGCTGGAGAATTGCGGAAAAACCTTGTCGTCCCAAGATCTGCCAGCCATAGCCCTAGAATACGAGGCTATCTTGCTAAGCAGATGTGAGTTTCGAAATCAGCAGGTTGGATAACCTCTATGAGCAAGTTTTCCGACATGTTCGGGTTATTTCATTTTTTTCTCGTTTTACGCTCTGCAAGCTGGCCGATGGATTTTGGTCAAAATGTTGATGCTCTTGAGTCGTAAGGAAACTTCGCTTATAGTGGTTTTCGAACACGCTCTTTACGAAAATACTTACTGAAAAGCTAAACGTTTTTGCAAAAATTGTCAACAGAAAGCCCTACCTTTGAGCAAAACAGGAATGAGTGAAGCACTGGAGATAGCCTTCTTCGATAGAAATCGATGAGCCACTGAATGAGCGCATTGTCCATGGTGAAATGTTGATGTCTTAGCTTAGATAATTTCAAAACATATAGCAAATTATGCATGATATATACATTTTCTTTCACATGTAGTATCTGAAATTTGAAAGAATGTCATCATTTGCGCCTCAACTTTGCAGAAAAATAAATGCAATGAAATTTAGATTTTGAGTGCGGTTTACTAAACTGTAAATTTTCAACAAATGAAACCATAAGCCGTTTTTAACTAGCATTAGACAGAGCATAAAAAGAGCTTCGCAATGGTGTGCTAAATCCGTCTTGAAAAGAGAGTTTGAGGCACCAAATTGTCCTGAATCAAAGCCTGGGAAAAAGCTCGTTAATTTTCCACCAACCTAGCATCACACGCAGCTGATCTTTTAGCTCTTGCATGCCCAGATTGTCAAAATCATTAGCGTTTCTATTCCAAAAATGAAGTGCTTCTTCCAGTTCCTGCCGATTAAGGTGTTAAGGTACACCTGTCGTGCTTCCTTGCAGCTCACTATAATGAGTGTTTACAAACAGGTCGAGTCATATGTCGGATACAGTGAAGAGGCTAGTTTAGATGGCGATCGTGCAAATCAAAGGAAATGGCCCATTTTGAATTGTAGCACTTATGAGTTTCCAAGGTTTTATCATGCACGGTTTTATACGCTTCGACTTTGTTTGGCAGAATGAAATAGGTAGTTCATGAGTTCGTAGAGTTCTCATGATCGTCCTCATTTTTTGAGGAGCGGTCGACTTGAGGCAAGATGCGCACATCACTGAAAAGATCTGAGCATGCCCTGTTAAGTGAACTTACTGCTCACTGAAAAGATCTGAGCATGCCCTGTTAAGTGAACTTACTGCTCATACAATCGCAAAGAAGCTCCGGGGCAAACTAAGCTTGTAAAACTTCCGAAGCGGACGCTATAGGTCCATGTGAATTGGGCCGTGTGGCCTTTGCCACACGGACCAATAGCAGCGTCCGCTCCGGAAATTCTAAAGCTTAGTTTGCCCCGAAGCTTCCTTTGCGGTTGTATGAGTTCATTTGATAAAAATCTGATCCACTTCAACTTTGCAGCATTCGAAGACGGAATTTTAGAGTCCGAGGAGCATTTTCAATATTTGCGCATTATTTCTTACGAAAGGAAGCTTTTAAGCATAGATTGTTGCTAGTTATGAAAAATGCCGTGTGCGCGTTAGTAATCGACAAAAAAAGAGTTAAATTGCTTTGAAAAAGCAAAGTTGGGACTGGATGCCTTCTAAACAAAACTTGTGGGACGGACAGGAAATTCTGTCTATGTTGCTGGACAAGAACAAAACGGTTGACCAAGCCTGCCCAACTTAGCTGCGCAGTGTGGATGGTGCCACATTGCAGAAAAGGCCGAAAATGGCAGGTTTAGCGAGTTTTTCTGCACGGCAATATATGGCCCCGTACGGCAAACGTCGTTAAACTGTCATGCAAGACTTGACTGGAACTTATATCCAGGGTTGAGCTTGAGGTCAGGCGGTCTGGGGATCGTATAGGGGTAAGAGTAAGGAGAGAAGGTTGTGACTAAGGGCCGCATGCACTAATATCCCCGCTGGGAAGAGAATCGCAGCTTGGAAGAATTTTATTCTGAAGCTCCATCTGAATTTCACGCTGTCTAACCATCCGTAAGTATTCCTACTATCGTTCGCTATGAACATATTGAAAAGGAGTATGATTATGATATACATATGCTGCACGAATCGCTTCGCGGAGGCGTACTCGTAGCGAATCAATGCAACGCATGTATATAAGTGAAACAAAGTTGGAGTTATGTATGTCTCGATAAAAAATTGTATTTTTGAACCGATTTAGACCAAACTTTGCGCACATACACTTCGGAGCAGGACGTGTTTTACAGGCTACTTTCATTGTCGGTTAATATCGATTTTCTCGATTACTGCAAACTTTGAGCTGCAGGGTTGGGAGTTGGCACAAGGGGTAAATAAGCATGCTAAGGAATACTAGTCGTTTACGGTTACTATTTCTCAGTACTTCCACCGATTCCATCAATTTTTTGTAGACTTCAAACTATAGAGCTGGGAGTTGGTAAGGGGAGGCGGGGGTCAAAATCAAAGGTCAGGAATTTGATAAAATAGTAATGGGGTTAGGACATGCAGATCTTGTTCAGAGCGGGATGAAGCGGTAAATCTGAGCATGGTAAGTAGGTAGGTACTGAGCGAAGCTGGGTATCCCAGTTAGTTACGAATAAGACAACCGTTTGCAAATTTGTTGATCTCATGAATTCTACGCTTTTAACTCTGGGCCACGAGACTGAGAGCCTGCATAAGAGGTATGCTCATTACGAATCAGGGACCGGCACGAGGTTGTCAAAAGGAGTTTTTGAAAACGAATTCTACTTTGACCCCAAAAATTTTTTACGGATACCTCTTTGACCCAGGAACTGATCCCAGTGATAGCGCAGTAAACTTACCCGTAGAACAAGTTTTATTGAAGACAAAAAAACAAAACCAATTTATCCATGACAATAGCAAAAAACAAATGAGGTCATACTAGAGATCTCTGTAATGAGGCAAGTGGCAAAATATCAGAAACGCCGATTATAGGACCCAGCGACGCCGTTATCGATTGGAGCGTGCTTTCCTCTTTAAGGAAGCGGGGCTGCTGAAGGCATTTTTAGCTCTAGCAAAGAGGAGAGGAGGAGGTCTGAAACCAAAATATCAATATATACTAAGCTTTGGGTGTAGAGCAGATTTATGTAAAAATTTTGAAAAAATTGCGTGACTTAGAAGTTTTGCCAACCTCGTTGTCATTCTTAATTTGGAAAGAAGTTGGGCACGCTCTTCATTCACATGAGCTTTTCATATTTTTTCATACTTTGATACTTACTGCCCTACTGCGCAAATACACACCAGATCTCGCGCGGTTTCGTCAGCTTTGCGTTGCAAGCGAACCATTCTTTCATTTTTTGAAAGCGGGAAATTTCCAGAAAATAGTTTGACACAGCCTCCAGTAACATAATTTTTCATTGAAACTTCTCATTTACGCCCTACAGGCCCGTGCGCATGTAGGTACAAAGTTTTTGCGTTATCTGTGCATTGCAGAAGAGTCATTTGAATTCACATCTTCACGCACAAGTTATGCAAAATTTTTGAAAAAAAGGAACGCTTATTACACCATTCCACATAAATTTCGTACCATACAGTTGCGCATGCACTGAGAGCTGCTCATGTATGCTGTTACAAATAGCATCGTTTGAGCGACTCGCGCGTGCAGCAATTAGCTACAGCGCGGTATAACGCGTGCGAATTCCAGTGTTCACCTTTGAGACACGTAACATGTTAAGTTTAGCAGAGGGCGCAAATTACCAGTTTTTTCAGGGGCTTCGCCCCGCACCCCGCAGAAACGATTTCCCTTTGATATTGAACAAAATCCGACTGTTAATTAACCTTGGCATTATAATATACAATTAGTTTTTGAATTGTTTAAGCTTACCAAGGTGGTATAGAACTTAATAAAATGGCTGACGCGTTTCGGCGATTTATCGCCTTCTTCAGAGCGCTGTAACGAAAGTTTAGCCGCGACAATTAAAGACTCACGGCGGTCGCCACTGTCCACTATCCTGAGATAGCGGAACCGAGTAAACTGACGTGACCCTCCTCCGGTGTCTATTTATAGCCCCCAAGACGCTGATAAGCTGTAAAATCACTTATCATGGCTATACTGTCATCCTTTCTAAATTACTTTTGCCCTGTTTTATTTGACCGAGAAGAGAGCAGTCAGATGTAGCGAAAGTTTGAAATTTGATGTCTACGTTGTAGTTGGGCTCCTGTGGTTTGTACAATAGCCGCGGAAAAGGTATGGCAGGAATAGAAGTTTTCTACGTGTACGAGTTCATTTGCTGCCTGATCATTTTTATTAGCTACAAGACGTAGCTGTTCATGAACGTACCGAAGACTGCCGACAATTTTGCGCGAAACTCTTGGTCCATTAGGCTGAGTTGGAGAGAAACTTGGACCGAGTTCGAGAACGGAAAGCGCGTTTTTTGACAAAGATAAGCCGCCTATTACGGAGACACGAGATGTTTTGGGTTTGTCAGAATTGACAGCGTTTTTAGTGTTGCTGTTGTTAATTTTGTTAGTGGCATGTTTGAGTGAATCTTGGGATTGTTGTTTGTCTAACAGTTTGTTGAACTTTCTTTGTAAGCGTGTTTTTGTATCGAGGCGAATCTTGTTACAAACCTGTATAGATTGATCTACAATTGTTTTCCAGAGCTTGTCAGGTAGAAGGCGTTTACAGCATCGTTCATTGTACTCACACTTATTGAGTAGCTTGTACAAATGATTTTGTTTAACTTTTAGGACTGTTCGTAGAAGCTGTTGTTCTATTTTCTTAGTTTTTTGACAAGCTTTAAGAAAGCCGCAAATTTCATAGAGGCGTTTACTAGTGATGAAATTTGAAGTAACTTCTAATTGTAGGCAACGACATAGAAAATATACAGATTGTCTTTCTACGATAACATTTTGTCTTAAAGACACCGCCTCTCTTACTAGTCGGAAGAACTTTGTGGTACTAGTTTGATATTGAACAAAACCCGACTGTTAATTAACCTTGGCATTATAATATACGATTAGTTTTTGAATTGTTTAAGCTTACCAAGGTGGTATAGAACTTAATAAAATGGCTGACGCGTTTCGGCGATTTATCGCCTTCTTCAGAGCGCCGTAACGAAAGTTTAGCCGCGACCATTAAAGACTCACGGCGGTCGCCACTGTCCACTATCCTGAGATAGCGGAACCGAGTAAACTGACGTGACCCTCCTCCGCTGTCTATTTATAGTCCCCAAGACGCTGATAAGCTGTAAAATCACTTATCATGGCTATACTGTCATCCTTTCTATTTATTTGGGGAGAACGGGCGGAGATGTAGAAAGCTTCAAGGGTTTTACGCGCTAGAATTTCAGATTCTTGCACTAAAATTGATGCGGCGACTTCCATGGTGGTGTCTTGATGACATTCTATACGATGAGCCTCTAGTGGAGTGGAGATTTTGGACTTTTGTAGACCATCCAGATGTTCTTTGACGCGAGAAATTAGTGGACGTCCTGTTTCTCCTATGTAAGTTGCCCCACAAGTATTACATACTATTTGGTAGACAACGCCGGATACCATACAATCTCCCTGTTTACCATACGGACAAATTGGGCAAGCATTAGTCATGCAGAGACGATCATAAGAGCGATTGCGTACTAATTGCTGCTTGAGATTTGGTGGAGGTACTTCTACCACCCTTATCATATCTTGCAATCCTGCTTGAACTAAGCTTTTGCGAACTTCCCGACTTATTCTATCTGAAATAAAGGGTAAGCAGAACGAAATCTTTTGATCCTCGAAACTTGTCCGTCTAGCAGCAGAACGTCGGG